ACACATGCACACATATCACACACATCCATGTCACACACATGCATACATACCACACACATGCACACACACATCCATGTCACACACATGCATACATACCACACACATGCGCGCGCACACACACACACACACACAATTGGTCAAGTGAAAATGACTACTGAAACAACTCTTATTATTAGAACCCAGAGATAACTTCTTGTATTTTATTTTCAGAAAAAAAAATCACTGCTAGCTGTCTTCTTTAATAAACATAATCAGTGAGAAAAAGGAAACAATCCTTAACTGACTCCATCCACTCAGACAGTAGTCTTGTAAAAGTGCAGGTTCTTTGATGATAATTTCATGTATTTTTAGAATATGAGTTTTGAAAAGCATTAGCTCCATTAGTACAGACTAAAGGTTGGTTTCACATTGCTGTCTGGTCGGAAGATTACATGCTGAAATTCAGTCTTGAATGCCAGGAATTTTCATCCTTCCTTCCTTCCTTTTTTTTTTTCTTTTTCTTTTTTTCCCTATGTGTAGCCCTGGCTGTCCAGGAACTCACTCTGCAGACCAGGCTGGCCTCAGACTCAGAGATCTGCCTACTTCTGCCTCCTGAGTGCTGGGATTAAAGGCAGGAATGATTTTTCCCAAGGATCATTTTCACATTCTTGGGCCATAAAATATGAAATAGATTGGTTTAAAATTTAGTTTTATTACTAAATCACATAACTGTTTGTAAGTTTCTTTACATCCATTTGTTCGATAAACATTTACCTAATTCTGATCCTGTGCCAGTCAACATGTATAAAGAAGTGTGCAAAATGCACACATCTTCCTGCCCTCGTGGAACTCACTAAGAGATCTTTATCCTCTTCAGTCTATAGCTCATTGGAGAAAGATGAAATCTGTTTACTGAGTCACACCGGAGGAGTCACTGTACCTTTTGTTACCAGGTCTTATGGGAGGAGAAAAAAATTATTATTAAGGAAAGACAGGAACACAGGAAGAGCTGAGTTATCTGGTTAGATTACTTTTAGAAATTTCCAATTGAAGCCAGGTGGTGGTAGCGCACGCCTTTAATCCCAGCACTCGGGAGGCAGAGGCAGGCGGATCTCTGTGAGTCCGAGGCCAGCCTGGTCTACAAGAGCTAGTTCCAGGACAGGCTCCAGAGCTACAGAGAAACTCTGTCTGGAGGGGTGCGGGGGGAGGAGAAAAGAAAAAAGAAAAAGAAAAAAAGGAAAGACATTTCTAATTGAATTTTAAAATTGGCATACAAAATATCAGATTTCTGCATGGCATTTTAATACCTACTTAATTTGGTTGCTCTTCTCCCTCCCCTGCTCCTCACTGCTGTCTCTCAGCTGCCCCCATCACTGCCTATGTCCTCCCATCCCCACAGCTTCCACTCAAAGACTGACCAGAGTCGGTAGCACAGTGAAACTGGGAATACGTCCTAGATGTTAGAATTTGCTTAAATATAAAAGAACTACAGGAGAAGCCAAGAATTTCTGCCCTTTGACATTTTCAAAAACAAATACTGTACACATTTTTGACTCTTTTAAAAAGCTAAGTATTAAGTATCTAAGTATTACTCAGCATTTACAAGGTGTTTTGCTTATCGTAGCTCAAACTCTTATTCTAGATTTTGTCTTAGTCCTTCCCTCGCTTATTAGTAACAATTAAGCAAATATTGTACCATAAACCTCTTAGTTTCTTTTTCTTTACCAGAGTTTATTAATATGGAGAAAAAAAATTAAAGCTTTTAAAAACCTAACATAGTCATAGATTAACTTCCTCGTGACAAGCCAATATAAAGTTACATGTCTTCAGCCTTCCCCATAACCCAGGGCAGCCCTGCTACGCATGTTGTTGAGTTTTGAGCCGGGTTCTCTGCTTGCTTTCAGCTGTTCCTGTAATACAGCTTAGTGACACTGGGATGAGCCATGGGGACACCAAGGAATCCAGGAGTCTACGACGGAGCTGTCTCCACTTGGAGGAGAGACATGAGTCAGCGTGCTAGGAGATTCGCATAACATTTTGGTTTACTATTTTCTATATTGCCATAAACTCTGATGGCGGAAAGGAACTGCTCCCACATGCAAAGTTTGAAGCAATTTGGCTTAAAGTTGCTAATTTTATTTTGAGGTTCCCCCTCTGGTGTCATATTTAAAGACCAACAATATAAACTCTTCTTCCAGGTTTTTGTAATGAAAATCATTTTCACCCCAGAGACAAGTTCTTAACCATTTCAAATAAAAGGAATTGGTAGAGCACAAGCTATTTTACAACCCTCTTATACAATTGAGAAATACAATGAAATGCTTAAGAAGTTTCTTTTTTACCCTAAGAGCATTCACCTACGATAACTGGAAAAAAAAAAATCTAAAAACTATCAATTCAAAACGCATTGGTTATAAGACCTTTCAGCAATTCTTTTTCCAAGCCAAACAGGACCTGTTTACATGCATGGGCCTATAAAGGAGAGTTGCCATTACCTGTATCAGGAGAGGCGCCATCCCTAGATCCAGCTAGGATCACCTAAAGTCCTGCTCGCACTGCCTAGCTTGTACCGGGCACAAGAGTCGCATGGAGGAAATGTGATAAAGCCCAGCCTGAGTAATGAAGGGTATTCACGGGGTTCCGTTGCAGATCCAGGGACAGTCGCTGAGAACACATTGCTCCTTCAGATCGACTTTAGTAACCCAGTCTGTAATGATGTTTTTAGCCGGCAGCAGTGGCAGGGGTGGATAATAACGGAGACACAATGGGCAGAGAACACCCTCCACCTCTCAGACCAGAAGGGAGGACTCGAGAAGAGGTCCACACTGAGTGTCTGTAACAACACCGTGATGAAACTCATGGTCTTTTATGCTAACTAAAGCATAAAATACACTTAAAATAAACCAAGAAATTCTGAAAAACAAAATTTAAGGCCTTTGTAAGACACAGGACACAGAGAGGCTTTAAATTGTACAAAATAGAGTCTATGGGTAATGGATTTAGTTAAGTAAATGTAGGGTACACTCAATTACTGTTACTAAGCACTTCCTGTTTGTGCCCCCAGTTTTAGGGTAGTTGGAGGCTGCAGTGTGGTTTATAGTTAACACACAGCAATGCTTACTTTATTGTGCTGTCGGTATGAACAGTGGAAATATAGTCTATTTCCAAACATATCAAAGCTTATATAGTATCGAAAGTATTACTTCCAAGAAACAAAATCGGTTCCCAGAACTTTTAATTTTTATTTTTAATTATGTGTATGTGTGTATCTGTGAGAGTGTATGTCACATGTGTGTGGGCCAGAAGAGGGTGCTAAATGCCCGAGAGCTAGAGTTACGGACAGTAAT